AAAGGAAGGTTGGTTTTTATGTTTTATATAAGGGTTTAGTTTTTTTTTTTTAAAATTGGTTTTTTTTTTAATTTTAATATTTTAAAATTGTATTTTATGGTTAGTTATGTGGATAGTGTTTTTTTGGGGGGGTTGGGGGGGGGAGGGAGGGGGAGAGACAGAGACAGAGACAGAGACAGAGACAGACAGAGACAGAGATAGAAATAGAGAGACAGACACAGGGACAGACAGAGACAGACAGAGACACAGACAGACAGAGACACAGACAGAGCGAGAGCAAGACGGCTAAGGCAGCCCGAATTTCTACAGTCTTCAGAAGGAGGCAAACGTTTGGAATCATAGACAGCGACAACAACACTTTTCAGCTCTACGCGTCGCCCACCAGACGACATCACCACAACAAAATAATGGACCATTACTTCGATATACACAACCTCATCCTTTACCACAACCGCTGCACATCGTTAGGGTTAGCCTTACCCTGCGGCCGTACTTGGTGTCCAGGTCAAAGGAGCTAAAGTCGGCTCCTGTGGCGGCGCGACGGTCTCCCTTCGTCAGGGCCCCTAGGCTGGCCAGCCGCTTGGCGACGGCTGCGGCGAAGCGACGTTCGCCCCCGAGATCGGTCACCAGTAGTCGGAACACCTGCAAGGTGTTTATTGTTATTGTTTTTTTTGTCACACTTTCATTCTGAAGTCCGTCCTTACACCTTTCGGTACAATTTCTGGACGGCACCAGAAGTCGGAACACCTCCAAGGCGTGTGTACGTGTGTGCGCCTTTTCCATTGGCACACCATTGTTTTGACGTCCGTCCTTGTACCATTCGGTACAATTTCTGGACGCACCGGCCGGGGTCATACAGGACGAAGGCCGAGGATTCAGCCGTTGGTTGTCGGTTTTAGGTTCGTGTTGTCGCTGTTTTCACGCCTTCATGCTTGTTTAATGCTTAACAACAAGAACTGCGGAAGAAACCACTGCCGCCATGGAATCAGCAACCAGCAGTCACGGACCACCTGGTGTTAGTGTTAGTGTGTTCCAAAACGCAAAGAGTTCAACACAACCCCTCTGACAAAAGGGGGTGCACTGACCCAAAGGAGAGGTTATTATCGTAACGCGCGATGTGTCTAGGAAAGGCGCATCGCCAAATCAACAAACCCGGCAAACACCAAAAAAACGTCCAAAACCAGGGAGAAAATGTCAACATATCCTTCTTCGACGGCTGTGGCATTGTCTCGAACGGGGTGAAAGTCTTGTTTGATTGTACGTACATTTTCTTCAACAAATAAAAAACAAACAAAAATGAACGGTCAATTGCGGTGTCGGCGGACCGTTAAAAACTCCACTCTCACCGGCGCCGACGCTTGGTTGGAGCGGTGGCTCCTGCCCAGCTGCTGGATGGCCTTGTCCGCGGACCACGGCAGCTCGAGAGTGATGTGGAGCCGCCGGCGCCCCTCCGATCCCGACCCCACCGCCGCGTGGAGGGAGACCCCGGTGCTGGCGGCGTCGCTGATGATGGCCACCTTCTTCTTGCCGGACATGAACAGCTCGCGCTCGCGGATGTTGAGGCTGCCAGAGACAGACAGACGGGCAGACAGACAGACAGACAGACAGACAGACAGACAGACAGACAGACAGCATGAGAGAGAGCGAGCGAGAGAGAGAGAGAGAGAGAGAGAGAGAGAGAGAGAGAGAGAGAGAGAGAGTCAGTCGGGGGCGGTGTGGTCATGAACTAGTGTCGACCAGAGCGCGTCTGGTTGGGATGATGGTCTGAATCGAGCGACAAGCGAGAGGGCTGATGTAATGCTGATTTGTTGTTCCTGACACCATCAGAGGGACTCGATTTGATCGATGCGATTTTGGTTGTGATGGAATGCTGCCCATCTGGTTACCCAACTCAATCGATTGGAGTGACGATACAGAAAAAAACAAGCCTTCTCTACGCATGCTGTACTGTGCATACCAAAGCCTTTTCTCCAAAAAAGCAGTGGCAAAGTAGTGGGAAAATGCCACTAAAATGGAATAGTGGTACCGCCCTGAATAGTGTCATGATATTCGTCTGCTCGTAGGCACCACTCTATTGGATTATTTACTGTACCAACACAACAAATTATCTACGCAGCAGTGCAAAGTATTCACCCACCTGGTCTCCTCGTTTTCCGGCCTAAGGTCATACTTGAATCCAGCGTCACCGCGGACCCTACGAACGAGCCTTCCCCTTCGGCCAGTCATCTCGGCGACTTCTGCCGTCCCCCCCAGAGCATCGATGAGGGCGTCTAACGGAGAAGGAAGCAGCCGAAGCTCCTGTGGCAATGTCGTGTTGTGTTTTATTGTTACAGATCCAAGGCTTGGTTTTAACTGATCTGTCAGTTTCGTCCTGTTTATTCGCCAAGGAGCGGTTTGAAGGCGCACGAGTGCATTGCATGAAGCCATGCCATACCATACCATCACAGGGATTGTTGCAACTACTCTTTAGCTCCCTGGAGGAAGCGAGGCGTACTGGTACTCTACTTGTCCGTGGAAAACTTATCGGTTGGGTGTGAATCCGTGGATTATTCTATCGGAGGAGATCATTTGTCGGCGAAGTATTGATCAGTTTTCGGGGGATGCTGATCGGCGGAGTGTTTATCGGCGTCTTATTGGTAAGGTATTTGTGGGTACTATTTATCGAGCAGTCTCTTGCGCGCGTCGATGAGGTCGAGCGAAAACAACAATACGGCACCTCTCGATAAATGAACTTTCCGTTTCAATCGGGACACGGCGTGAAAACCAAGAAATTGAGGGAACCGACACGCGACACCGACCTTCGCCTTTTGAAGCAGTTTTTCCTTAGCCTCCACGCAATCCTGAAGCTCACGCGACTTGGCTTGCTCGGCCTTCAGCACCTGTTCATTATAATATGGATTTGAAAGCCTCCCATAAAAACAAAAATGCTTCGGAGCAGGGTTGTGACGCTACAGGCCAGAGCGGGTTTGGATCGTCAACAATAACGATAACTCTAGCAACCACCATCAACAACGACGACGACGAGGACGACGACGACGAAACACCAACGGCTAAAGCAACGACAAAGGCTTGGCAAACAACGGCAGTAGCAGCAGCAATAGCAGCAACAACAGTAGCAGCAACAGCAACAGCAGCAGCATCAGCAACAGCAGAAGCAGCAGCGACAGGAACAGTAACAGTAACAGTAACAGCAACAGCGACAGCAACAGCAACAACAACAACAACAACAACAACAACAACAACAACAACAACAACAACTACTACATCATCATTACCACCACCACCACCACCATCAATACCTTGCTCCGCTCTTGGTCCTTGCGGAGGCTTGCCCTAGCCTGTTCCACGTTGAATAGGGTCGCGATTCCCGCTTGGATGTGCACCTACGAAACACATCAAGAAGCAACGAAATCAAGATCGGAAAACAGCAAAAAGAGAGAAAAAACGTCCCCAAAGTTCCGGGCCCGTAAGAATAAAAGCATTAATATCGCCCGGTGTTGCGCGATGCCATGCGTCTGGGACAACAACAACCGGTTTCGAACTCTCCAAGCATCAGTCCCGTTTTTTGGGACAAATCCTGTTTCACGTAAAGGCGTCCACGGTTAGGCAACTGGGAAGAATTGAGCTGGGAGTGCAATGGGACTGCACAAGGTACGAACGCAGGAACACCCTAGACTAGAATGAGGCGGGGAAGACAGAAATAGCCGAGAAACATGGGAACAAGGCGTGCGAGAGAAATCCGCCGGTGAAAAGTAGCCCATGCCATCCAATCGCGAGGGATAAAACAGGAGGCTGTCAGAGTAATGCCGCGGCAGTCCAGTACATACATACCTGTCTACAAACGAACAATAGGTAGTCTAAACGAGCGGACAGGCGACCTTGGAAGTATGGAGCATCTTTGTGAACCTTCTGAAAACAATTTGGTGCGAAAAGTATCATATTCGATGTCAGTCAGCGACGGTCGCAATGTCACTTCAAGTTTTAAAATCAACGTCAACTATCCTCTGTTAAAACACCCACGTTCAACTGGCAGCTGATGATGTCCTCGATGTCTTGGTCTGTCATGACCTTTACCTCTTTCGGCACTGTTCGGGTAGGAAAGAACTGCTTGATGAACTGCGGAGAGAAGAAAACGAAACAAAGGGGGGCAAGGAGGCCACTCAGAGGCGACGGATAGACCAAGAAATCCTCAGAGACGCCACCTTAGATACCACTCGCTGCCACTTATCCCTCCGCCGTATGACATGACCGCCGCCCTCCTTCCAACGTGAGCATACAGTCATCATATTCTCATCAGGCGGAAGGCCAACACCCGGAGTGGCCAAGATCGCGTCCGGATGTAGTTAACGGAAGGAAAGGCCCCCAAAACAACATCGCTGCAGAGGCCGGAAAAAGCGCCATCAAGAGCGATAAAAGCTGGGTCCCTTTCCGGGTCACCGTCGACCCGGCCCGGTACGGTGAGATACGACACGGTATACGGTACAGTTTGGCGCTCGGCTATGGCACGGAACAGCATGGTATGGGGGGCGGGTGCTATGCAAACGTTGATGTACACCTTACAAGCGATGGGGCCACAACGACACGGTGCGGCCCGGAATGGCGGGATGGGACGGCCTTCTAGTGGTGTTGCGGAACTGCAGCGATACAATCCGGATTTGGTTTATTGGGCATAAGGTTAGGGCTAGGACAGTTGTTCCCTGTCTTCAAGTCCACTATTGCTGTAGCCCAGCCCTAACGCTTGCATTCACCCTAGCCTGTCTAATCTAGTTAGTGTGCGCCCCCGAGCTCTCCTTCGGCAACCATATTGCCTGATGTTATCCTGATCGCGGCGAAATGTAGAGTGAAAACGGTTCGGAACACCGATAGACTCTTGGTTAGGTTTAGGAGGACATTGACTTACCCCGATGGTGCCATAGTGTGCGGCGCTGATGAGCGTGGCAACGGTGTCGCCCGGCCTCTTCTTCATCTCCGACATTGCCTACACCCAGAAACAACACAGACATGCACAACACGCACATTGCCCCAAACGAGAACACGTGAACCAAAACAAAGTCAAAGTTTGCGAGCAGGCCTAACGCAAGCCCCTTAAGTTTGTGAGGAAGGGGAGCCGTGATAGACCCCTACCGGTACAAGCAAACACTAATAAAAGTAAATAAATATCCTTGAAAAGGTATACCGTTACATTCAAGAAGTGTTGAGATGAAGATTCACGCCAAGACCCGTCTTGAAGTACTAGAGGTTCACGCCGTGACTGGCTGCGTGTATTCTTGTGTGAGGGCCGATTGGTTGGCTGCATGTAGGACGAGAATTAATCCCCTTAGCCAGACATACAACAACACTCGTTGCTTTCCGGACTGATATGACCCTTGTGGGCAATGCTATTAACCAAGGAATTGAAACAGAGCTGACCGAGCTCGTGTTGAGCTACGTTTAACGTTATAACTGGCCACACCAAACACGACCAACCCCAACCCACCAGCCCACACCAAAATAGCGATTTCAGCAGCGTGCCGTTTAGGCCGTAAAAATGCCTTCCATGATGGTCCCGTCCATATATGAGGGCATACACACGGTAAGGCGATCAAGAAGCGTATCCACAATATTGTAGAAGAGAGAAAAGTGCAAAGGCGTGTAAAATGACGTTCTTCAACGTAACGCTACGACAACAACAATAAGAGCAACAAACAGCCACCGAGCAACAAGCCACGACGTTCCCGACCTTGTCCATTCCGCTCTCCCCGGTGCTCTGCAGGCCGATGACTACACTCATGCCACTCGACAGCGCCTCCTTGGCTTGTGCGACCACGAACTCCACCTTGGAGGCGTTCGCCATCTCCTTGAAAAAACGCTGCTGCTGCCCCCAGAACTGACGCATCTGCAACGGCGCAGGGAGCAAGAACAGCATGGCAGGAATAGC